TATTTCTACAATTTTGTGAAAATATGTTTATTAAAAAAATTCGATATTTGTTTCATATTATATTTATATTATATAATAAAATCGCGGTACAGAACTATGTACCGCGATTTTATTATATAATACAGAATAAAAAAATACAGAACTGCGGCTCCCATGCATTTTGCAAAACCTACATTTCAGCTCCCACTGAACTCTTGCTTGCCCACCCCTGGTATATACAGTAAAAACTTGGTTTAGTAGGCACAAATGCATTCCTAGCACAGTAATAGGAGAAAACACTCTACTAACTTGAAGTACAGTACCTTCACCTCCTATTAGTCCAAGTCATCAAGTGTTTACTGTATGTATTTTTTTAACTTTTAGCTTTAAGGCATTAAGTAATAGGCTGTATCATTACAATTTTTTATTTTTTGAAAAATAAAACTGATAAGTAATGCTACTAACAAAATTATACTTTAACTGTAGTCATGAATTATACCAAAAAGTCAAATGCTATTTTTCTTTAGTTAATTTTGATATAACTTCAACTAGAATGACTTCAGTTTCTTGGTTTATATTTAATAAGGCAAGTCTATTTAATCAGTTATGATTTATTATATTTCAAGAATAAGTTTTTAAATAATGAAGATATTCTTCATTATTTAAAAACTTATTCATATGGTCATTCATATGGTTATGAACAATTATTCACTGATGGTTACAGACAGATTAATAGATATTGTTCATAATCCCTTTATTTTTAAGTTTATTAGTGGGAATCCGTGCTTCTGATGCATCAGTATTGAAATAGATAGGCAACATTACCAATTAATCTATCTACCTGTCTTGCAATAGGTGTGGTCTTGAGTGCCACTACAAGCCAGCTATTTTATTTTAAACTGTCAAAAAGTAATTAATCATTAATTTATAATTATTAAATTTAATACAGAATGCATTTAGCATTTCTAGTGCCAAAATTATTTTAATTCTCACAAAAAACAACTGAAGAATTGTGAAAATTATAAAGTTACTTCTGAATTCTGTTCTTATCACATTTTGCAAAACAAAGCCATGTATCAGTCATTTAAAAGACTGCTGACTATTGTAAAATATACAGTAATTTTTTAAACAGATTTGTCCTAAGTAGACAAAGTCTCTGCTCCCATAATCTAGGTTCTACAATATATCTATATAACACTCTTAAATGTAATAAATAAATATGATGAATGATTATTTCAATAAAGTTAAGATTTGATCAATTTATTGAATTCAATAAGTTTATAATTTTCTTATTTACTATAGTTTTCTGTAAAACAAAATAAATATAACATTGTAAAGTGCATTATTGGCCAATATCTCAGATAATATTAATTTAAGCATTACTAATAAAAATTCTCTACATTTCATTATGAATGTTAAAAATTAACCCATCTAATATATACTTATATAAAAGGAAGTATTTATACAGAATATAAAAAAATATTTAAATACTTCTAATTATTTTCTCTTAATTTATTTAAAATAGTGATGTAGTGACTTGTCTAATTATTATCATATAATCTTTTTATGCCTATTATATGGTATTTTACTCACTTTATTTTGGTTCAGTTGTTTAATGAGGGGAAGAAATCTTACATCATATACATGGCATTTCCTATTGTAATTGTGATATAAAATACTACTATTATTTATTTATTTATTTATTTGAACAATAATATATAATGTATCTAATTTATTATAAAATGAATTTACTTAAAATCGTATTATTATTGGATATTTAAAATAAATTATTATTATTTTTTATAGGTGCCCTTTTTGGTAATGTGATAGCTGATGATCAAAATCATTCAATACAGGTTTTTTTTTCCTTGATTGTAAAATATTTTGGTACAAACATTAAACAATCTTCATTATTATTAGGTATTTTCGTATTATTTAATATTGATTATTGTCTGTAAAAATTGCGTTATTATACAAAGAATAGTTTAAATTAGTAATGATATATTCTAGTCATGAATATATAACAAAGTTTAACTTAATACAAGACATTTTATTACAATTAAGAAGTGTGATTTATTATTTCACAAAATAGAAAAATTTAAACAAGGATTGTATTACCTGTTCATATAAAAATATTGAATAAATATTAATAATTTAATATTGATAATGAATATTTGTTAAATTTGTTTTAAAATTAAGTTCTGTTAATTATTCCACATCAAAATTTTTAATCAACTTACAAAATTCCAAAATATTCTTAATATTATGTTGTAAATCGGGAATTCTATTTTTTTATACAAATAAATATTAAATGATATTTTATTTTGTGTGCTGTGTTTATTATATTAATAAAATAAAGCAATCTTACTCTTCTTTTTTTTTATTAAAGATTTAACAAAATTTTTAAACTTTAATATACTATTTCAAAGCTATAAAAGAATATAATGATTTATTATTTTATCTTAAGCATTATTTATCAATAACATTTTATATTTATTCAAACATGTTAAAAACATATCTTGTAATATTTCACTAAGATACTTTATATATATAANATATAAAGTATTTTATAAATATATAATAATATCTTAGGAATTTTTGAAAAATGTTTTCTGTGAAAATACAGAAAAAGCTATAAATATGATCACTTCTTCAAATATTCAGGAACAAAACTGAATGGCAATAATTCAGATACTGTGGCCTTTCTGTAATTAAGTTCTTTATCAGTCATATAAACATCCCAAGTTGTTCCAAACTGAAAATATATTAATATATAATAATTTTAGTGTAATATATTTCAATTTTATAACAGTATTTGTCCAGGGCCATTCCTGGTGGGAGTGTGAAAGGTGCCTCCACACCTGGGTGGCTACAGACTGTTTATTATATGTAAAGTTTTGACTAAAAGGGGTGGCAATATTGTTTTTGCACCTGGTTGGCAAATAACCCAGGAATAGCCTTGTAAATGCCTCTAATTTGTAGCATGCTACTGTTTTAAGCTCTTCAATTATATTACATTGATAAGTTTTGTTTTTTATATAATGTAATAAAGAAAGCATTTATATTGTTATGATTTTGATTAGTATATTTTGGAGACAACTATAATTACTTTTTTATTCATTATTATTATAATTCATTTGAATTTAAAAAATGTGTCTAAATTAAAAATAGAATAATCACTTCAATGATATAAGCTCACTGACCTCAATCATGAACTGCCTGCAAGCTCCACATGGTGATATAAATAAATCTTTTATGTTACTGAAAAGCATATTTGGAATTATAAAATATTTCTTTAATTTCCAATTTTTTATAACTTTAAAAATATTTTTATAAATAAATACAAAAATTCTGCAAATTCTCAAAAGAACTTTTACAAAAAAGGAAAAAATAAATAACTAACTATAAGTAAAAGTAAAGCTTTCAGAAACTTTAAAATATATTTTCATAATAATATCCTACAAAATGTAATGATCCTATTGATATACAGAAATTTAGCATAAGACAACCTTCTAAGATTAGGAAATCTTTATTTACTTAGTGCAGTGGTTTCTAACTTATTTTTATTCTGGAACCATTTTCATTTTAGTAAAAAATGTTGGAACTCTGACAATTTTTAATGATTATAGATAAAATAGAAAAAAAAACTCCAAAAACAATTTATTGAAAAAGAAAAAACAGATTAATAATGGAAAGCAAATATTACTTAATTCAAACTGGTCATTAATGTGAACAATTAAACTTTTTTCTTTCAATATTTTAAACAGTGCTAGTGCTTGGCTTTGTACCTTTGTTTGTATCCACCCTTTCAATCTCCTTGTCACTAGAATCATTTGGAGTACTTGTTACATTTTTCTTCAAAAATCTTCTCTCAGCCAATGCTCCAGATTTTTAATTTGGGATATACACAATACTAAAAGCACTATAAATTTATATGAAAAATATTTAAAACAACATGAAGTGATTGCAATGCAAAACTAATAATCTTTGACTGAAATACCTGCTTGTACACTATACTCTTGCATTACAACACTCTACAGATGATGGGACATTAATTAATTTATATTCATATGTCACTAGATTCAACGGATTTTATTGACGGAACGCAAGGATTTCGTGGAACACAAGTTGGGAACCCTGACTTAGTGAATATTTTCAAAGACCTTCATTCCAGCTTCAGATAAACCTATAGTTAGTTATATTATAGCATATAAAGCTACACTATTAATTAAGAGTTTGCTTGAAAACTTAACAAGCTGGAATTATTCATAAATATGGAGTTCAAACTATCTTCAAAAGATGATTGCTATTTAATAAGCAGTTTCACTTCATGAAAATAAAATAATTAATAATAATGAGACAAGTCAAAAGCTTCCACCACAGCAAAAAAAAAAAACTGCTGTTTAGAATAAAGCTACACACAAAAACCAATAAAAGGAATAAGTTCTTATGGCTTATTTATTCAGCACAAATAGATAAGCCATAAGAATAGTTTTCAACTTTGCATACTATGGAAGAAAAGTATGTCAGTGAAAATAAATAAGAATTCTTACAAATTTCTGCTGAAATAATTCAAAGATAATTATGAAAATTTTTGTATCAAAGATTATTTTCTGTTTCACAAAGGATTCTGTAAAAAAGGTTCAGAAAAATTTACAACTTTTGATTTACCTTGGTAACATGGTACCATTTTCACATGTACACTTTGAACTACTACAAATCTTTGGATTTAAATGTATTTGACAGTTTGTTCTGTTTTCCTTACAGAATACCTGAAGATGTTTGTGTAAGTAAATATTGATAGTTTTTATTCCTTTTATTGGTTTTTGTGGTATTTTGTGTGTAGTTTCAGTCAAAGGAATCAAGAAAGGAAGAGACTAAAATTGGAATCAAGGAAGAGGATGTCCAGAGTAAAATTAACAATTTTCTTTCTTCTATAAAATGTAAAGATTTGTCTTTATACCCTATAAAAAACATCTGGTAAAGTTGCATTGGATATTCAGTAATCCAGAAATTCTATAATGTGGATATGAATAATTTTAAGATTGGCATTCTAGCATCTTTTCTTCAAAATAAAAATACATGAGGATATTTGAACTCTGTTAATAAGGTAATATACTTCACATGCTATTTGGAAGAAATCATGGCACAGTTATTGATGGAGTTCTTAAAAATTTGGAAATAAGTCCAGTCTCATGTATTTCTGACACTCTGTATATGGTTCCTATCATAACAATGTTCAGCTACCCCTGGTCTATATTGATGAAAATATACTGGAGAAAACAGCACAAATTTGATTATTACATTGATGTATAAACATGGAGTCCACAGTAAAGAATTGTAAGGCTCTTAAAAAGATATTTATTCATTCTTTCATTTGAACCTGTGTTTAAACTTTTCAAGAAGTAAAATTTTGGACTACCAAGACTAAAGATTTCAAAGCATACTTTATGAGTTATATTATTTTCCTAGTTATAAACAAATAAGAATAAATTCTTGTTAATACCTTGATATAGCAATTGCTTTAAATTTGCAATATCCTCTGGCAACAGCTGCACAGATGGCATTTCTTTCAGCACAAATAGATAAGCCATAAGAACAGTTTTCAACATTGCATCCTATTGAAGAAAAGTATGTCAGTGAAAATAAAGAATTCTTACAAATTTCTGCTGAAATAATTCAAAGATAATTATTTATGTATCAAAGATTATTTTCTGTTTTAAAAAGGATTTTGTAAAAGAAGGTTCAGAAAATATTTTATTATAATATTTACTTTCATTCATTGAGTTTATAATAATTGAGCTGCTTGGTTATCTCTCAAGTTTGTTTTTATAATATATAACAAAAAGATATGATCTTTATTTCTTGTTTTAATTATATTGTATGGTTCCAGAACAGTCATGAGTAATCCAAAGCCTGTGGGCTACATGAATCCATGAGGTCCTAATATGTTGCTGCAGTGGCTTTGGCAACATAATTTTATTTTCCTTGTCACTCTGCAACCATAATTCCTAATGAAGAACAATTAAACTAAACTTACTAGTAAAATGATGAAAAATAAACTATTATTAGCATTTATTAGTTGTGTGCTAGAGATTGTACATTGATACTCAGAACGTTTAAAGCCTACAACTCTCTAAGAAAAAATCATGTGGCCCATCAGAAGCTGACAAAAGTTCATTTGTGGCCCGTATCCAGAAAAGGTTGCTCATCGTCGTTCTAGAATAATGCTTAAATACATTGAGTGCATAAAATTATTCAGATTTATAGCTTAATTACAATTTTATTTACATCATATCTTAAAAATTTCTACTTTTGTTTTACTGAGTAGCATAGTAATTATTTTATTTTTCTCAAATTTTTGTAGTATATAACTTACTTCATTACTTCACTTATTACAATGAAAATCATTAAATTTAATAAATTACTTTACCTTTGATTATATTTCCATCGTGACAAAGAATCGCAGCACCAACACACGCACTGCTATAGGGAGAATAAGAATAAGCATAAGCCAATTTACTTTCTTTCAGCAGTTGTTGAATGGTTTCATCTGCATTTTCTATAATTAAATAAATAAAATTTTACATAAATAATGATTTCACTTGTTAAAAAATATCCTGGAATGAAGATGAATTATTTACTTTAACAAGTAAACAACTAGAAGTAAATTATCATTCCTGTTTTAAAATATTTGTAAAATAAAATAAGTAGTGTGATATGTAATTTTTTATACATTAGCTTGGAGGCCTGCTAGATATAGGAAAAAAAAGGCTAAAGATAATTGTTGATAGTTACCTAGAGGATGAACTTGAGCTAGATTATCATCAGTCATTACAACTCTATCCCTTTCAACACTCGAAAATATTATTCTAGTTGTTCACATACAGAAATTAATTTAGGAAACGGCAATGGCACACTTGGCTCGGTTAAAGTGATCCGACTTGTCATGCAGTTTTGAAACAAAATAGAAATCCGGTCGCGTGAATGTAATAAATATGGAACACTTCAAGGTGAAAGTATTGTGTACAAATTATCTAAATTTGATATTAAAAAAAAATTGAATCTGATTTTAAATAATTTTGCTACAGTTAAACGTGTCTACTCTAGTTTTCGAGTAAAATAAATGCAGACTCATCTTAAAATAATTTTTAATGCCAGCGTGTGATTAGTCGACTTTAACATTAGAAAATTATATAACTCAATTAAGTACTGTAATTAATATTTATTGTTAAATACATTAGGTGCAGCGACTCGAATTAACGTGAATATCGTAAGTTAAATTTTAAATAGGTTTGTTTATTATTGTGTTCGGCAACTCCCCCAGTTTATCCCACCCACTTCTGGAACGTGCGAATTTTTAGGAAGAAAGGGGTGGAGTTCGTTCCGTACGAAATTGAACTCCTGCCACATCCTTGCTAGAGTTTGGCGTGCATCCTGTCTGATAACTGCAGATTTAATTAGGAAAGAAAATTTTGTCAAATTAATTAATTATTGCAAAATAATTTGATTTCAATTCTTGCGTGCAACGAAGTGATGCGCACTACTGTGACACTACGGAGGTGGGCAGGTGCCGACCTTGGGGACACCAAATGAACACTTAGAATTAAAAGCCCATAAATTTTTTTTGTAATTAACGTTGAATCGCCCGATTCAACTTTAGATTACATTGAGATGAAAATGAAGCGCTGATTTAAAGACTAAAATAAATTAGAAAAACTAAATATAAAAGATATCTTCTGATTACGAAAACGCGACACGTGTCGAAGGGATGCATCCCGGAAGAACCTCCTATGAAAGCGGTGCCCAAAGTGGCACTAAAAAAGAAACGTATCATACGGTTTCGATTTATCATCTGTGGTTTTCAATCGGGTTTTTTACATTTATTCTAATTAAAGCATATTCGTTTAATTTCTTTAAATATCGTTATTTGAAATATGAAACTTTGGTAGGCATAAACATCTTAAAAGTATGTATGCTTACTATACGGCACGCGGGCTGAAAAAGATGTTCGCCATCCCTGTCTTACGGGAAACTGACCTTATTTAGGAGTTACAAATGTAAAGAAAATGCGGAAAACTCCATGTGGCCAGACAAGAACTCTCATCAACTACCAGTGTTTGACGGTGTTATCCACTCGGCCACTGATGGGCACCCCATATATTTTAACTCTTAAAAAAAATAATGGTAGTAAGAGTAATACCGTTGAACTCCAATAACGGCCGTCTCTCAACGGCGGTTATTTTTTCAGCCTGCTATTATTCTCACCCTATTATATATTTTACTTATTTATTTAATAATTAATTTAGAAGGTTCTGAAAGAAAAGAATCGGCCCGAAACCGGACTCGAATCCGCAACTACCGTTAATATAACCCGATATAATCCGGCAATCTTTCGGCTTTAATAATATATAACTATCGGGTTTAAGATATTTATATTGGTATACAGTATAGCCCAATGAATGCTTTGATAATGGTATAATTCGTTTGATATTATCATAACAGAACTTCCTGTTAAACTTTTAAAATGTATAGTCAAATTACCCACACAAATTTTCCAAAATAATATATTTTGATTACAGAATAGATAAATAATAGGCCTATACTGGCAGGAGCGTCGAGAGACGTCGCCACTCCCGGAGAAAATATTTATATGGATCCCAAGTAAAACTTAAATTTTCTATGTATTTATAAAGTTATAAGATTGGGGCAATTTATTATCCCGCTTGGGATCGTAATTTTTCAGCACCTCCAACTGTTAATGACGCAGAAAAGTTGAACTCCGAGCGCCCTTCCTTCACCGGTAAACATGGTGTCAAGTTGGTGGCTTCCTACTACACTTAGTGAGAGGTACAGTATCTTTGGTAGGAAATTTCGGGAACTGATTTTTATATTTATACAGTGATATATTATAAGATACTAAACACTTTTTGTGCAACGTAAGATGACGAACCTAACAATCTTCAATATGGTCCCCATACTGTCCAAGCTCGAGCCCGATATCATGCCACATTTAGTGGGGAAGTGTTCAAATTTAGCATGAATTGTAATTTGAACTAGTGGAAAGCTTTTCTACGACTTGGCAACAGTGCCGATAATACCCGAGTCGACTAGTGTCGGATTACTGAAAATGTAGAAATACCCGACGAACGGAGTGTCGAGCGGTTAATTGTTTTTGTTTAATAATTGTATTATTATGTCAAGACATAAGATCGGTCGGCGGTCGCCGAGCACCGACCCACGCTTTCGGTACGCCATTTAGAAAAATCGTTATAAAAAGTTTTCACTGGCGTAAATTTCAGCTTTTGTAAGTTTTCACTGGCATTCTAAGTAACATTTCGAATACAAATTAATTTGTTTCCACGCAATTTTATCTTTATAAGCGTAAAATTAAACCGTAAAACTGAATTTGCTCTAGGGGGAAACTCTCGTGAACTTTGACCTATCGACCCGAAAGTTAGGCTTAAGTTTAAAATTTGAGCTTTCTATACCGGTAGTTTTTTTTCTACGAGCGTCTGCAGTTACGGATGAAGAAAATACAGCTTTTTCGGCGATTTTTGCACTTTTCAATTGTATATATTTCGGCAACCCATTTATAGAAAACCTTGAAATTTTGCACGTTACCTAAGAAAACAATTGTCTTTCGAAAGAGGCATTCGGAATAATTCGGGTGTTTGGGGGGCATAGAAATCGACCCCCGAAAATCGGCAACTGATTTCTGTATATATAGTCAGTCAGTAACTTTTTTACTTGGTGGGGAGTCACTGCCCTGACTCCTGATATATTTTAATAAAGATCATAAAAATTATTATATTTTATAATAATAACTGATGAAAAATTATATGAATAGATTTATTTGATTGTACAGTAATCTTCAAATTGCAAATGAACACATTCCCACTGTCGTCGGTTTTTCTGTCTGTCCTTCCGTCCTTCGTTAATCTCGAGAACGGAGTTAGATAGACGAAAATCGAAACCGAATATGGAAAGCTTAGAGATCGGAGGCCCCGAGATACGAAATTCCGGACTGGACCGGAAGTGACGTGATTCTTTAAGTTAAAAAATAATTAAAAATTGCAACCAGCCATTGTGACGATGTCACAATAATATACATTCGATTTATTATTATTATTATTATTGTTTTAATGTATTTTTTTCAGGACAAAATCACAAATTGCAGAGAAAGTAAAAATCATTTTAAAGTTTTACAAATGTGATAACATCAGAAAGTAATTACTGAGTCACATTTTATTTAAATCATAATGTAATGTAATAAACATTTTTCATGAACGTGTGAACAATTTAATCAGTGGCGCGTTGGGCCCAGGCGAATTTGAATTAGGAGGCCCACGTGCACTGTTAACTTCAGGCATTTCGATGGAATTTTCGGGAAAAATATTTTTTTACGAGATATATCCTTATCTTTATATAAATATAAAAGATTGATTTGGTGTCTTCCGTTAGTGGGGCACCGGGCAATTTCCCATTTTGCCCATAAAATAACGCGTCACTGATACTACTCGAGCCTTCTGTGTATACATTTGTACCACTAACGGGTACCACCAATGGTACTGTACGTATACCACTGCTGGTACGGTAATTTCTTCTTTACTTTTATGTATTGTGTTAGGTCTACTCTATAAACTTTACAGACTTTTTTATTTTTTAATTATGTAGTTTGCATTCTCTCGTAGTTTTTATATAAAATATTATTTAAAAAGATTCATTCGTTGAAATATATAAAATAGTTTCCATGTAAAAAATGAAAGAGCCAAAGAATTAATTCGGTGCACGTCTTGTCACGTGTCTTGGCTTTTGTTAGTGTTATTATTTGTCTCAACAATTGTAGTTGAAGCGGGTAAAAAAGTCTCAAATTTCAGAATTAAATTACATTTAAGTAGTTTATTTGGACAAGTATTAAAAGCGATTTTAAAATATTATTTAATTTAAATTTATTTTTAATATTTAAATGTATACACTTTTTTAATACAATATTTAAATTATTATAGAATTTTATATTTATGGTTTGTTCGGCGATAATTTAAATTAAAAAAAGGAAATGCTTTGGCGCTAAAAATAAATAAATAAATAAATAAATTTCCAGCAGCGAAGGGTGATTGAGTTGCCACGTGACCTACGAGTTCATTCGACTTACTTCTTCCTTTTCTGAAACTGCATTTGTTTTCTTTAGTGTTTTTTTTTCTAATTAAAAATAGGGCTTTTGGTCTTTACGGAATCGAATTCCTTCGGATAAAATGTTTATTTAGTTTATTTAATACTAAGAGGGGTGCACGAAACTTTATGTCGGGTCTTAACTAAAATATCCTATGGGAATACTGTATTAAGAATTCAAACTAGACGTAGCGATAGACTGGACTGTAGAGTAACGTGCTTTCGTCCCTTAAAGAAGCATTATAGGGATAATATAAATAATCGTATCGTGAATAGAGAGAGATATAGGGCCTACATTACCATAAATAAACCACAGATGTCTACTTTTATTCTCCCGTCTACCTTAGAATACAGATAACTTTTAATTTGTTCATCTGTGAGGTATACACAGCTTTAAAAGTATTAAAATAATCGTTATGAATGAAAATGCCACGAGTCACGAGCATCCGTAGAGAGGGGCGAACGGGGCACTTCTCCAGGATCGAGTAAAAATTTTCCATAAATTACAATTGTAAGAGTGATTGAGATACGTAACCTTACACCCTCAACTACAGGATGCAGAATGCAGAATTATAGGGTATTTTTTCGTTTTGTACAAATGCCTGGTTAAAAATTGGCGAAGAAACAGAAAGTGATACCCCGTATTAACCGTATCGGCGGTGTGGAGGAGACAGGAAAGACATCTGTAACGAGCTACAAAAGATCAAAATGTTGTCACCGATTGATTACTGTCACGGCTAAGAAAGGTCAATATCTTCTAACGTCATTCAAATATGATAGTTAAATTCACATAAATGTATAAAAAATAAAAGAAAATAAATAGTTTAAGAGTACAATCACCCTTTAGTGTAATGCTCCTATTGAATTTTTTAAAGATGCTGAAATTCGCAAATATTTACATAAACAAATAATTTCTAAGTGTTGTCAAGAGTTTATGATTAAAAATGCGATAAATACAAGAAAATTGAAGGATCTAATTAAATGCAAATCGTAAAATAAATATCGTTGAAGTAGTTTTAAACGTAACAATCGTTCGATCTGTTAATAATTTCATTTAAAATTATAACTTTTAACTAAGGAAAAAAATAATCTTTAAATAAAAATTTACATATTTTTGGCTTCGGAGCTGCCCGAGACCACTTGGAGGGGCCCCACACTTTTATATTTCTAAGAAAATTTGATTTAAAAAATATTTTGGAGGCCCACTAAAAAATTTCTTCCGGGGCCCCACAAAACCTCCAGAGCTGGAGGTTTTGTGGGGCATTTTGTTCGATTCTCCTAGAATAGTCTAAAAATGGAAGAATGGATAATTGAAATGCTTTAAATTTGAAATACTTAATTGTAATTTATCTGTACAATCGTGTACGTGTAGAGTTTACGTCCGATAGATAAGTAACATGATCTCGCTGGTACATGTACTACTGGACATTCCTTCCTGTTTTTTCCCTCCTCTTTATATTAACAGAAGTGTGTTGTGCAGAATGATATAAATATCCCTGGAAGACCGTTTCGCGGATGTTTATACAATTTCGTACGTCACAATATATTACATTGAATAACCAAGGCCACTGGCAATTGTAGTGAATGCGTTGTGACAATTTTCGTGTTCCTCGTGTCTAGCATTCTTTGTATCCGAGAAATTGAAGAGGCTACT